GTTAAAACAATGCATTAGAAAGAATAAGGCATGTGTACCTAACACTGCACCCCAACCAAGAGAGAAAGGAGTGTTTCCCAAGGGAAACCTTACTCCCGCCCCTGGCTAGGTGGCTCCTTTAGTCCTGTAATCAATCAATCAATCCCCTTCCCCCAGTAGTCAATCAATCAATCCCCTTCCCCCAATTTGCCTTACCTTGTCTGCCAGGTGCTAATCTGAAAGCAAGGTATCACTTTAGATTATTGGCAGTAATGTCTCGTTCTCAGCAGCCATGTGCATACATGTATCTGCAGGGCCCGGCGGCGGCGGAGGGGGACAGGGTTGTGATCAGGTTTCAGGGACCTGAAAGGCTCAACACCAAAGCCTGTGTGTGTCCCCAGCATTCTGCGTTGGTGCTGTACTCTGCGGGCACAGACCTCTCTCAAGGCACATCGCTTCTTTGTTGTCGGTGCCCACTTCCCCAGCTCATTGGAAAAGAAAGCTCACTGCCTGGGAGAACTTCACGCCCGACACCTTCTGTCTTCCATGCCCAGCCTGACTCGGAAGGTGGAAATTGTTGGTCTTTGAGGCAGATGACTTGGGTCTTTGGCGGAAATGAACAGCTTGGGTAACCGTTGACCTTCACCTGACCTTGTCCTCAGTGGCTGGGGTCTGCCCCTTGTCATGCTCTTCTGGATGCTTGCCCAGAAATCTCTCATGTATAGGGCCAACCCTCAAATGGGGACTTATGTTGTATGTACCAGTACCTTCTCAAAAGAAGTCCTAATTTATCATTTTATTTCAAATCAACACCCTCATCATGAAGTACCTACTGTGTGTGGAACCCTTTTGACGATTCCCAGGGAATCAGGAACGGTTAGTTTAACTGACGGCAGATGCCTTATATGCAAGGCCATAGGGGAGCTGTTCATTCACTCAGTCTCTCTTCGTCTATACCACAGTGACTTACTGGCTGCCCGCTGCAAACAGGGCAGCCGACCAGGTATTTAGCATTCAGAAGGCACTTGGGGATGACACAGTGAACTGAGTCCCAGGAGTCCTGGAGCTCAAAAGGCCAGGAGAGGAAAGAGTGAGTATATAGGTGGGAAGGGAGATGTTGTCTTCCTCCAGGGTCTCAGAGCTGAAAGTGCTGTGTCAGCCGATGGCTTTGGTTCCCCATTAGAAGGGGTTAGGGTGGAGTCTTTTATTACATTCGTTATATTTGATGGCGTTGGGATGGATTACAGGGCCGCTTACATGCTTAGCAAGTGCTCTACCACCGAGTTACAGCCTATGTCGCAATGGTAATTTATTCTCCTTTTTTAAAAACAATAATAAAGTAATTAATTGGAGACAGAGTTTTCTCTGTGTAGACTTGGCTTGCCTGGCACTCACTCTGTAGACCAGGCTGGCCTCGAACTCACAGAGATTCGCCTGCCTCTGCCTCCCAAATGCTGGGATTAAAGGCGTGCGCCACCACTGGTCCCAATGGTCATCTCTTAAGGACATTGAATCCCACGTTCTGTTTAGACTGGCGTGATGTAGTCTTGTGAGAAATTGTGAAGCCTGAACACGGTCAAGGGCTTTGGAAAATGAGTACCGCTGAGGGCTGAGGGGGCAGAGGGGGCAGAGGGGCAGAGGGGCTTGCTGGTCTACGCCTTCCACCTGGAGTCCTCTGTAAGCTGAGCTGTTCTTCACACCCCTCTGCTCCGCCTCTTGGCCAATTGGACTTGACTTTAGTTGGAATAAATGGCTTCCTGGCTTCTCCCTGTGTAGCCCGTTCCTGGGCCAAGGTTTATTTGAGACACTGTTTGGATATTGTTAAAAGTGGGCAGCTTGGCTCAGAAAGGTCAGCGGGAGAGATCAGAACAAAGAGATCTTTCAAGCTGGTTTCTCACGGGGCAGCCAGAAACGGCCGAGGAAAGCCCCAGCTCCACCTGGCGCAGGCAGCCGCAGGTTAGGCTCGGACTGCTCGGGCTGTGGCCACCTGGGCCATTTGAGAACCCCCATTTAGGCATTTCTTAGAGGGGCAAGCTGAGACAGGGGGCGTTCTCGGCACACATGGCTGAGCCAGGCAACCTAGGCTAGGAGCCCAGCTCTCCCTGTGTGGTCGTGGCCACTGCAACCTCTCGTGTGGATTGTTTCTTTAAGGGCAGTCAAGAAAAATTGAGATTTACTGAAAACATGCCTGAGGGTGATGATTTACTCTGCAAAGGAATTCCTGGGAGCCTATTCAGATGCCCAGATCCCTTATAGATCTGAAAATTATTTAAAACAAGCAAACAGAAAGCTTTGGAATACAGGATCGTGTTAGAATGCAGTACTAGTTCCTCGTGTGTGTACTGGGGTGGTCAGTGCCTGGACATCGGGGTCCCCTCCCCGGCCTCCAGGAATGGCCTCTCTGCTGCTCTGGGGATGTGAAGATTCTTTGGAGTGACAGGGAGGACAGTCCCTCCTGCGGCAGAGGAAGAAGAGGCATGAGACACTCTTGGCTCCAGCCTCGTGGCAGTTCGGCCAGGCTGCCAGGGAGGAGGCTGGCAGGTCGCCCGTAGAGTGGAAAATCACCCACGGTCCCAGGAGTGGCCTGTCTCCTCTGGGCCACAGGGCTCCAGACGGCCCCGGGGACCAGCCTGCCTCAGCCTGTGGACTCAACTGTCAGGATGGTTGTCTCCTCTTTCCTGGGAGCCCCCATATCTGTCTTTATCTTCCCTCTTTGTGGTGGGCCTGGGCCATCTACTGGGAATCTGTTCTTCCTGCTGGGGGTGGGGGGGGCTGGTAGAACTTGACTGTGGGACTAGGGCCTGTCCCTCAAGTCCTTCTGCCTTCTGTTAGAGATTATTATTACTCTTGAGCTCCCTGTAAAGTCTAGTGAAAGTTACAATGTCAGTGACAAAGCCTTTAGAATCCCAGTTAGGAGAAAAGAGAAGAATTCGGAATGACCCCTCTCCCGCAGGCGGTGGTGTGTTTGGGTGTGCCTTATCACCTTCCCAAGAGCTCTGTGGAGAAATGAGGACTCCTCCCATAGCCAGGGAGACATACTGAGACCACCTCGTCTTCCCAGGAATGTGGTGTTTCCATTTCCGGTTGCCTCTTCTGAAACCTGGCTTCTCTGAGGCAGTTCTCTGGAGGACCCTGGGGCCATCTGAGTCAGTGTTCTCCAACATGAGTGCCTCCTGGTCTGATCAAAGCCAGATTCCCACCTGAGTTCCCATTACAGATTGGAATGCGGCCTCCGAACTTATATATATATATTTTTTAAATATAACATCTTTACTAATTGTCTGAGGATTTCATACATGCATACTGTATCTTTTGGTCTTACTCACCTCCTCCTCCCTCAACTCCTCCTGGATCCACGTCCTCCCTATCCTGCTCCACACTTCATGTCCTTCTTATTCTTTCTTTTATAAGCCACTGAGTCCAGTTGGTATTGAATATATACTCCTGGTGTGGAGCCTAACCAGGGCAGAGCCACACCCTTAAAGACAACTGACTCTCCCTCAGAAACCATCCCCTGTCAATAACTCCTCAGCTAGGTAGGGATGGGGGCGCACAGGCTCCTCCCCGGTCCAGGATAGAATGTTGACTGGTTTGATCTGCCAGCCGGCAACCACAGCCGCTATGAGATCATGAGTGCAGAAGTCCTGTGGTTTCTAGAAAATACTGCTTCGGTCTGGTCCTCCCTGACCTCTGGCTCTTTCCGTGTCCTCTTCAGCGATGGCTTCTGAGTTTTCTTATGGAGTAGGGTGGGGCGGAATGGCAATAAGACTTGCATTTCTTTCTTTCCCTTTTAAATTTCTTTAGATTCATTTATTTTTACGTGCATTTTAAGTGTCTTGCTTGCATGCATGTATACTCTATGTTAACCTATGGAGGTCTGAAGAAGGGTCAGATAACCCTGGAACTGGAGTTATGGATGGTTGTGAGCCACCTGGGGTGCTGGGAACCGAACCCGGGTCCTCTGCTAGAACAGAAAGTGTGTTTAACCACTGAGCCGTCTCTCCAGACCCTTCTGACAAGTTCTTGGGACGCTGAAGTTCCTGGGATATTGGTGCTGCTGGTCCAGGGACTGACTGTGCCTTGCAAAGCTCTGGTGTGAGTCATCATTTCCTAGCATGTAGGCTGAGTACCTTTAGTGATAAGCAGAGTGGAATTAAGTAGTACACACACTAGCTTGAAAAATTACTTCTGTGCTTAAAAATACTTCTGCACTTACTATATTTTGGGGGGAAAAACCCACAAAAACAAAAACCAACTAGAATAACAAAGCCATGATTTCAAGTATTTTTTTTTAATTAAAGTGAGATATCTACTAAGTAAAAAGAGGATATAAGCAAAAGTAATACTATAATAATTACTATATTAATATTTATAATAATATTACATTAATAATAATATAATAATGATGGACCAGTAGTAAAATTTGAGAATGTAGCATGCCAACAGGTGTCTGGAGACACTGAGCTGAGCATAAGCCCATATTTTGCAGATGAGACCGTGGGCCACAGAGGTAAGGCTTGCTTCCCTGACACAGGAGAGGGATCAGGAGGCTGAGGTTCCCCACCTGCTTTCAGTCCGTTTCTTCTCTGAACTGGGCAGGTCCGGGGAAGTCCCGACTGACCTTCACTCCAGGTGTCTACATTCTCGGGCTTACAAACAAAGCTCTGCATTTATAACCCTGGGAGCTGGTAGCTTCCAGAGCTTCCCCGGAGGCCAAGGACTTGATCTGCACAATCTTGTCCTATGTAGTTCCCAGGCTGCAAAGCCCCTGGAGACCTGGGAGCTGGGGGCGGGGGGTGGGGGGGTGGGGTGGGGCAGCAGCGGGTTTCCTGGTTACCAGCTGCAGCCTGCAGTCCCGGGCCTTGAGGGTCCTGGAGTGATGGCTCTGGCTTTCCACTCCACTGATTGAAGGTGTTCAAAGGAAACCCGAGCAGACAGGCCACGCGGTTGGTGCTGGGTTAGGAGGGGGTCTGTGGAGCTCGGTGAGCCACCATGATCCCACTTTTGTTGTCCTCTTCCAGGAACATCGTGAAGGGCATGAGGGAGCTCCGGGAGATTCTGAGGACTGTGGAAACCAAAGCGACGCAGAACTTCAAAGTGGTAATGGGACTGACTGGAGGCTGTGGCTGGTTTATGCAGAGGTCGATTTGGGTGGGAGACAGCACAAGCCCTAGCAAGAGGTCCCTGACCTAGAGATGTCACACACACACACACACACACACACACACACACACACACACACACACACACGCCTGTGCTCACCCTCCTCTGCTCTCCGCAGACATTGTTAATTGATCCCAGAGTGCTTTCCCACCAGCACACCCTGTTCATCTCATCTTCTTCATCAGGGCACTGAAGATGACTCCTAGCGTTAGAGCAGAGTTGAAATCTACTGCCATCCCTTGCACGAGCAGAACCATCCTAATGATGGGTGACATTGCTCATTACTTCACGACCTTAATAAAGGCCATTGCCTCTCCTTTCGTGTCCCAACTCAGGTCTGTGTTCTCAGACCTTTGCTCCCCCCAAATCAGAGCCACGGCCGTGTCTCTCACTAGAATTTTGGGTCTCTAGAAGGCGTCTGGTTGGGAGCCTCCTGTACCTGTGGCCTCCTGCCTTCTCCCACCTGGAAGGGACTTCAGTGTCCTCACTTGTAGAGCCGGAAGGAGAAAAGAAAAGAAATGGGGTAGAGCTATGCAAGGCCATCGGGGGAGGGGCGATGAGCTTCGATGCCAGAGGGACGGTGAGGGACTTGGGGATGGAATCTCGGGGCCCAGCACAGCGTGCAGTGGGCAGATCTGCTGGTTGGGAACCGGGGTCACATAGGCAGGATGAAGAAGTGAGACCCCAGCCTGATGACGACGAGTGTCTCCATCTCTGTCAGGTGGCGGCCAAGCACCTGGCAGGGGTTCTGCTGCATTCCCTGAGTGAGGAATGCTACTGGAGTCCATTGTCCCACCCTCTGCCTGAGTTCATGAGCAAGGAGGAGAATTCCTTCATCACCCAGAGCCTCCGGAAACCCCACCTCTATGAGGGAGACAAGTGAGTGCCGCCTGCCCCCTCCGGTCCCTGCTGCTGGCTCTTCACTGCACCCTGCTTTCCCAGCCTCCACCCTGCCCAGTGCCAGGCAGACATCTTAGAGACTAAGCAAAGATGGTCTCTGGTGGGGTTGGGGGAGAATTCTTCATGGCTCCCGGAAGCCATGCATTTGGCTCCCGGAAGCCACGCATTTGGAAGATGCCTGTCTTCCCAGCCCAGCCCTCTGATGTGCCGGTTGATGGTGGAGTCTGTCGTCCCCAGCAGGGCCTCTTGCTCTCTCCCCACACCTCGCCTCAGCCTGGGCATGGATGGGCCGTTTCTTCTGCAGGATGGCTGCAGCCTTTCAGGTTCAGAACTCTGGGGCTGGCTAAGAGCAGCACATGGTGTTCGGTGCCTGTGAATTATGCAGGAGAAGGGTCACCTTACCAGGCTGATGTTGACTCGGGGCACAAGGACTGCTTGGGGGGCGGGGGGCAGAGGTGCTGTCGGTGTGGGCTGGGCTGCAGCCAGGAATACTGCTGTGTTTTCCAGCCTCTACTGCCCGAAGGACAACATAGAGGAGGCGCTCTTACTGCTGCTCATCAGTGAGTCCATGGTAAGTGAGCCCCAGGTACCGCTGACCCCAGGGGTGTGTGTGTGTGTGTGTGTGTGGAGAGTGTTGGGATAGATGCAGGGTATCCATGGCCTAGTCAATCTCTGCCTCCCAGGGATGCCCTGAAGGTGTGAGCTTCTTGGCCCTGCTTCCTCCCTTTCCTTCCTCCCTCTCCTCT